TATAAGCAGGAAATGTAGAGATTTTTTGACAATTATTCAAAGAAAACTTTTTTCGTACTAAGTTAATCGACAAGGTCGATTAATTAAAAGTTGTAGAGCTCGCTGAGGCGCATCTAATGGTGGTTAAATAATCCAAATCGGCCCAGTGGTTCGCGAGATATCGCTAAAAAACGATTGACCGACTATATAAAATCTCTATTTAAACAATAGTTTGTTTACATAGAGATTTTATATAATCGGCCAATCGTTTTTTAGCGATATCTTGCGAACCACTGGGCCGATTTGGATGATTTAATCACCATTAGATGCGCCTCAGCGAGCTCTACAACTTTTTATTAATCGACCTTGTCGATTAACTTAGTACAAAAAAAAATTTTCTTTGAATAATTGTCAAAAAATCTCCATATTTCTTGCTTATGTAATTTACATAGTGATCTGCATCACGTTACACTATGATCATGCATCAGGTGACTGGCGGATCATCAATTAAATATTTTATCTAATCTCTAATTATATAATGATTGTTCTAATAAAAGTTTAAAGTTTTATACAATCTTATTTTATATTAACTTTTATATTTTTTGTATTAAAAATTGTATAAGAATAAAAAAAAATATAATAATTAGTTTATTACTGTATTACTTAAATCTTTAAGCATTTAAAGATATTATAAATTAATTCTCAAACCCACATTACCTTTATTAGATTATTGCTTTTAATTTACTCTTACTTTTTAGTTTTTACTGCTTAATGTTTAGGAATTGTAATTTAATTACTTAGTTACATACAGTATATATCTTTGCCAGATAAATTATCATATAAAAGCTGTAGAATTTATCAAGATTCAATTGATATTATTAAAATATTATACAAAACTTTCAAATTTATAAAGTACTACTTTATATTTTAAAGTAAGTAATATAAGCTTTTTGAAAAAGTACTTTATAACAATATAAAAAAACTTTTTATAAATTGTATAATGGATCTACAAATAATGTGATGGTTCTCTCTGTTGGTGTAATATACATTAAAAAAATACTTCTATTTCAAAATTTTGTCTATAAAACTACCTTTTAAACTTTAACAAAAAAAAATTCTTTGCTAAATTTTACTATATAAAAAGCTCTATTCTAACCTCTAACTAATTTTAAAAAGGTTTAATTTTTTTGTTTTGATGGAAATTAATTAGTTTTTTTATGTATTGTAAATCACAGATAATAATTACTTGTAGTGATTTCTAATTATTTTCTTTATATTATTAATAAATTTTTAAATTTTATTTAAATATTTTTCAAAATTTCAAACAATTAAATTTTTATATATTTTTAATTATAAAAAAAAATTATTTTTAATATATACAAATCGTAATTTATTAATAAATCACTAAAAATGCAATAATAAAGTTGTCATTCTTTATACTAAATAATTTTAGTTAAAAATTTTTTTAAATTTGTATATTTATGGCTTATAAGCAATTTAATTTTTTTTTTTTATAATGTAAAATTAAATATAATCCTTATTTTCAAATATATATTATCAAAAAAAAATTTTATTTAAATATTTTAAATTTTAAAAAAAGTAGATTATAAGCAAATTTATAACAATTTTCCAGGAAAATTTGCCTGGAATTGCCTTACAGTTTAATAGATAAATGTTAATAAGTGTTAACTGTTCTGATTGGCATCATTGACAACAATTGTAACGTCGGTTACATTACTGGTATTATTATTATTAACAATAGCTGGCTGGTCAACAAGCACATCGGAACTACCAGGAGTTGGACCAGAAACATTATTCACAGCGCTATTAGTCTTATCGTCAAAAAATTCGCTCATTGTAAAAAAAATATCATCATCATCCTCCTTTGCTTGATGAACACGTAGAGAAATACCTGATGAAGGAGAACCAGTAATAATATCACCTGTACCTGTCATCATTGATTCTGACAAATTTTTGTGTGTTTCTTTCAACTTTTGAAATCGCGATAATTGTAACTATTATATCATGTTAAAGCACGTTAAACTATACACTTAATTGTAATCAATAAATAACGATTAATTATAATCATATATTAGTACCTGGGTTCGATATACAGAGCCGGATAGATTACGAGCTGAACCATCGGCATCGTCCGAGCCCGTTGGACTTTTGCTAAACATTTTTAATGGTTCTCGTCTTTCCAACATCCGTACAAATTCGCCTACGTCATCCTCCGGATCTAGTGAAAAGAAAGACTGCAAGACGAAGAAATATGAAAATCCGAGATGTCAATGATTCATTATATAAGATATATATATATTTTTTCTCTTTTTTTTCTTTAAACATAGATAATAACGAACAAATATATATATGACTAACTGAATTAAGAGATCCTCTGTCACTGGTAGAACCGTCACTCCTATTTGTTGAACGTCGTCGACTACTATAACTCCCATCACGTTCCCTTGTGGTTGAGCTGGTGGCCTTATCATACCGGTTAGTGAAACTGGTGAAGCTAGAGGAAAATTTGGGGAGGCTTCCAGCAGAAGAAGTTGATTTCACAGAAGAAGACATGGTTGGTGTACCTCGCTGTTGAAAAGAAAGTTGTGAAGGTGATCGATGTAGATGTAAAGTAGACATTCGATCGAGTAGCGTTGGAGACGGAGGCATCATTTCATGATTTACTGGGGAAGAGGAAAGTGACGGAGATTTAAAAGGCTTCACTAATGTGACATTCGGACCTGTTGGTGAGTAAAATGACGAGTATTCACGTTGCTAAATAAATTAAGTATAATTGTTATGAGATTAGTTACAAATAAAAAAAGATTCAATTTTTTATTCAGGATAAGTACCCTTGAACTCTGTGATGTAGGACTTACCATAATAGGTTCTAAAGTGTTAGATCCACGCCTTGAAAAATTTGATCCGAGAGTCGTCGAACTAGATTGGGTATAAAGTTTGGGAAATGTAAGACTAGAGTTTTCTTTCATTTCAGGATTTGACCTAGATGGACTAAGTGTTCGAATTGGTGGAATGTCAACAGTTAATTGGCTATTTGTGTGTTTAGGTGAAGACCCTGGATGTGGAAAACCAGAGGGAGGTGTCTAGATGGTATTTAGCATTATTATTATTATTACTACCAAAAATTTCGTCCTAGAACTACACATGACACAAACCTTCATCGTGGTCGGAACGCTTTTTCTCCTTTCTGATTTATCCTGTTGCCTTTGTTCTTCTGGTTGGTAGTAATTAGCCAATGTTGGCGTAAAATAGTTTTCATCCATATCAATAAGCACCTCCGAAGAATCGTCAACATGGAATTCACAATTTGTCCTGTAGTTGACTTTTAATGATAATACTCTATAATATGAAAGATTATTTCTAATGAGAAAATAATTTTGTACTTTGAAAGATTTAACAAAATAATTATTACCCCAAAGGCGTATCAATAGAATTAAATTTATAATCAGCAGATGTTGGTCTTGACTCTCCCTCTATTATAGGCACATCTGAAAATCCAAAAGATTGATAATAAATATTGATAAATAAATTTACTAGTAAAACTCTAAATTTCTAAGAAAAATAATGCCAATACTGACCTATACCAATATAATCGTGAATTCTGCTAGTTGGCAATACGAACCTATAACCAATTTTCAAAGCACTGCTCAATTTCTTTTTTCTTATTCGTCTGTAAAGGCGATAAGCTGGCAACAGTCTAACGTAAGCATATAATGTGCGAAAAAAAGCGATGGACTTTTTATAGACAACGGGTAAGTCTGGTAGTGGATCAGGTAAAGGATGGCTATTTATTATGGATTTCATATATGAGAGTAAATTGGAAGCCTGAAAGAAATGAATAATTTATTATAAAAAATTTTAAATTAATGATACCTTAAAGTCAATTGCCAACTTTCCAATACAATATTTTTTGAGGATTTACTACTAGATCCACCTATATTATACAAATCAACTTTTTGCCTCCTTAAAATCTCGTCGGTTATAAAGAGAGTTTGATTTTTGTTTAAATCTGAAACATCCAGAAAAAACTCGATTATCATTGGAAGTGGTACGGTTCCTGTTGACGCTTGGGATGCCTGACGCCAAGATTTAAGACCATCTTTGTAAACATCCGAATCCCACAGTTCCAGATTAAACTATTAATGGATTGACCACAAATATAATTAGAAAAAAATCGTATTACATTCTTGTTTTTATGAACAACATATAATCGATTTATTTTATTAAACTTGAATTTTACACGTACCCACTTGTTGGGCCTTCTAGGATGTATAGGTTGGCGTGAGGGTAAAACTATGTTGGCATTTTGTGGACCTCTTCCGCTTATATGGCTATCGTATTGTATAAGACGCGCATGGGTGACTACTTGAGTAACTTTTGTATAAAAGTTCTATGTTTTTTGAAAAGGTTAAATCATATGCCTCCGTTAATCTTAGAATCTCCAGGTCGTAAATATAATACATAAGAAAAGCGCTAATGCACACTGTATACTAACCTGAACGATCTGGTCTACCCTTGTTTGACGTGGAGAATTTGATGTTATAGGAGGTTGATTTGCAGCATAAGACGGAGGAGAAGCTGAATATTGGGAAGAAGAATTCGAGGGAGTTCTGTGCATATCATACATACGGCATCAAGTTTGCTTTATATATGCTGGGAGATAAATCGGGTGCTAAACCTTACAGCGAGATCTCCATTTAGACACCAATGAAATTTGTATAGTATTTAATGTTCTTAATGTTCCTAATGTTCCTAATTAATAGAAGGTAAAAAAGTTTTGCGAACCTAAAAAGAAGGAATTCTGATGTTTATTTATTTAGAAGGTTTGGTTAGCTTCTACAAGGAGAATGTCCTTTTATGTATTTCAGTATTTTTTTGACAAAGCTCAGCTGCACAGAAGCGCTCTAACCATAACGATAATAAATATATACACTATTATTATCACGGGACTCGATCCATATCTGATATGGTAACTGATCAAAGTAGCAACGCATTATCGTCGATAAATAAGTGACGACCCATGATACATATCATGAATTCTTTAGAGAATGAGAAATAGGACAAGTGTACTCTTGATCATTATGCGCATAATTCCGATGTAAGTATAGTTAGCTTTACTCTCTAAGCTGGTTTAACCGCAGCAATAGTTTCCTGTATTCGCGAATTTTGATCCAAGATTCTGTATTAGTATACTTTTTGATTGGTTACGGATCATGTCTGTTAGTTCCTATCGCCATTATGGTACTATGGTATTACAGTATTGATTTGATTGACGTCTGAATTGTGAAATAAAGCCTATACGTATATAATAATAATAACAGATAATACTGTATAAGCTTAAATTTTGATTGCTGATAGCAACCAATCAAGAATAGTCAAATACACGTTACTCTGGATATATCGATAATTATTTTCATTAGTAAAAAAAATTCAAAATGTCGATACAGTGAAAAATTGAAAAAAAATGTCGATATAGAAAGATTTTACTATTGATGTTGTTATATTAAGATGTGGTACAGTATAATGGTTAAAACTAATAAAGATTTGTACTATATATTAATAATGAATTAATACAGTATATTAGTATTTGTAGCCCATGCTATTAAAATAATTTTTTTTATAAAATTATAGTTAGATTAATATTAGAGGGTAAAATTGTAAAAAAAGCACTTTTATTTAGTTATGCAAGAGGAATTTAGTAAAATTTTGAATTATTATAAAAATTATAAAATATAATTATAAATAACTTTTTTTTTTCTTTAATAACCTCGCACTAATTTATTAAAACCTAAATCCGATACAAAGATAAATAAACTAACTACATATTAGACAGATACCTGGCTGTTTCTAAAGTGCCCAAGTATAGTTATTGCTCTCATATTAGCTAATAAGTTTTATATAAAGTACTATATTTAAAATTTTACTATAGCCTTTAGATACTTAGCTATTATATTTTTAAAATTTTTTTTATTTAGCTTTCTATTAATATAAAAATACAAACCAAAAAATAAAAATAAAAACAATCTTTAAGAGTAGGGCAAAAAAAAATATACATAAATCTCTGTAAGTTTTTATGCAAGAGTAAACTTACAAAAAACTTACAATTAGTTTGGAGTATTATATAGGGATAATAATTACTAAAGTTTATGCTATAGAATTTTAGAGTATTATGTAGGAGTAATAATTACAAACATCTACAGCATAGTAAATTTAAATATAGCAAAATATAAATAGTTGAAAACTAGCAAAATCATGTGTAAATTTATAAAGGGAAATTCTTGGCATCTTTAGCTAGAAATATATAACTTATACAAACACAAGACATGTCCCCCTACAGGGGTTCAAAATGTTGTCACATATAAATTAAATGAGTTGACTCACCCAAATTTATATGTAAAATTTGACAAAAAAAACACTTTTCTTTAATTTACTCAAGAAAGTA